TCTCCATGCGGCTCCTCCAGTTCCCAGGGCTGCATCAGGGTAGGTCCATGTGGCTTCTCCTCAGGGATGTCTCACAGCAAGTCAGCCTTGTCAGGAAAGTCTCCAAGGGAGTGAGCAGAGAGAGTTTCCTACCTCTGAGGAGGAAATCCCGGAGTTCCCAGAATTCTCAGGAGGCCATGCCCATACAAAGGCCTCATTGGTTACTAGATCTCGATTGACAGGCCAGACTCCGCCCCTTGACTCCTAATCCTGTCAAATTGACACCAGATTATGTAACTACCACAGCCATGGAGTGAATGTTTCAAGCTCACAACTGGTGGATTGAACTTTTTCTTTCTTTTTGAACTTCTTTCTTGAGCTCTTTCAGTTTCAGATATGCCGAACCTGCCTTTCCCTGTTCCGTTTTCTAATTCTAGGTCTTTGCACATTGCATCCTACTATTTAGCTGTGTCTTCTTGGGCTGCCCTTCGAACTCTTCTCTTGGCTCCTTGATTCCACGTGCCCGAGCCACACTGCCATGAAGAGCAGGTGTCAGCGTCTGCTTCAGGGTGTGGTATGAGACGCACTCAATCCTGACTCACAGGGACCCCGTCGGGCCTGGGAACTGCCCGCTCAGGTGGTTTTCGCTCCTGTTCCGAACGTGTTCTTGTGTCTTAGGGAACGTTTGCACGGCAAACCCGTTTACCATTTCAACAAACAGCTCCCTGGCCCTGGGGGCCCTCCAGCTGTGGATCAGCCCCCTCCCCGGTTCCGCCTGCCAGCCCAGCATCTGATCTCGCCACTCCCACCCCCTTCCCCTCTCTGCCTTCTCAGCTTTGCGTTTGGAGCCAGTGCTTGGAGTTGATTGTTCCAAGGAGAACGTTTCTCCTGTGATTGTTTGATTCATCGATTCATCTAGTCTTTGACTGAAGGGTGACCTCTGTGTGGGGTGTCCATTCGGGACTAAAAGGGTGCCCTATGGTCGCAGTTGAACAAGGAAGACGAAAGAAGAACCGGTGTATTTGAATGACGGCGCTGCCGGAGGATGTTGAAAGCATCCCGAACGACCAAAAGAACAAGCAGACCCCACGCTGAAGTACAGCCAGAATGCTGCTTCGAGGCCAGGATGGTGGCACGCTGTCTCACGGACTGTGGGCACGTGGTCAGGAGAGACCTGTTCCTGGAGAGGATGCCATGCTTGGTAAAATAGAGGGGCAGCAACAAAAGAAAAGAGGGAGGTCCTCGAGGAGACGGGCGGACACAGTGGCAGCATCTCCCGGCTCAAGCATCACATTGTGAGGATGGTGGGGGACGGGTGGTGCCTGGTTCTGTTGTACGCCGGTCGTGATGGGTCAGAGTGGACTCCACAGCACCAGGCAGCAACCCAGAGTCGCCGTGTGGAGCGTTCTTCCCAGCTCTGTCCTGCCAGTCAAGCCTAGCCTTGTTCCATGCACTTGAGTGCTGGTCTACAATTTCGTGTCACTCTAACGGGTCCTGCCATTGGGCCCCTGGTCAAAACGGCCAGGGGTGGTAGCTGGGCACCATCTAGTGCTTCTGCTCTCAGGCCTGAGGAGACTATAGCTCCCGTGGGTCCTTCCTTCTGTGGACGAAAGAATGTGTTTTTAAGTTTTTGCTTTCCTTCACTCCCCTTTGCCCCGATGGGAGGGGACCAATCGCTGTGACACGTTCTTATTAGGCGCCGCAGAGTGAGTTCGGACGTGTAGAGACCCTGTGTACAACAGAATGAAACACTGCGTGGTTCCTTAGACGGCTGCAAAAGGAGACATGGAGGGGCCCATAGTTGACCTCCTCTGGCTTTCCCACCGCCCTGTGCCCAAGCTCCGACATGCCTCCCACTGCACCGTTCTTTACCTAGTCTCTGACACCAACGTTCCTCCCAGGGCCCCTACTTCTAGCCTGCGTTCAGAATTTGTTGTCAGACAAAACTCACAGTGATGGGCGTTTCTTAGGGACGGGAATTGGTCACCAGGAGTCAGGGTCAGTAAATAGGACTGCCCCCCCTCTCCCGCAACACCTCTCCCCCACCAGCAGCCGGTCTCTCTGGTCCTCAGTCTCTCAGCCACGTGGCCTCTTGGCCAGTCCCCTGGGCCGGAAAGTCCACCTGCTGCCCAGTAGGTCTCCTTTCAGTGAGCAGTGGAGCTCTGCCCATCATGTCACCAGGGCTGGGCCATGGGTTTCGTGGGCCATGGGTTTCGTGGCTGCTAGGTGCTAGGAGTTGGTTCTGACCCACAGTGACCCAATATACAGCAGAACTCCACGCAGCACGGTCCTGTGTCCTCCTCACAATTGTCACCGCTGTCGGTCTGTCTTGTCTAGGGCTGTCCTCAGTTCACCAAGCATGATGCTCTTCTCCAGGGACGGGTCTCACCTGGCCGATTGTCAACGGAACGTGGGACGAATTCTTGTCATCCTTGTCTCTAAGTGACCTTCTGAGTGTACTTCTTCCAAGACAGATTTTCTTGGTAATGTGTTTAGGACCTTTTTTGGGGGGGTGGGGGGGTTGGAGTTGAGGGGTGTGTTTGAGAACATTCTGGAACTGGAATACTGAGGATGAACTAAACGCCACTGAACTGTATTCTTGGAACTAATGGTTGATGATTTATTTACTGGCAATTGCTGTATTTAATGGATTTACTTATTTATTGTATTTATTAAGTGGTAAGCGATTTGCATATTTTCTCACAATTAAACACGAAAAATCTAAGTGTTGTCCCACTTTCTTAGTGGTGGGGCCAAGAAGGGGTCCATCAGGGATTTGAACCCAGGTCAGGAAGACCAAACAAGGATGGGAGTGTCCAGCTCCATGTCCCCACCGCCACTCACACCCACAGCAGCAGAGCAGAGACCCCGGGCACAGAAGCACAGGGTTGGAGGGTGAGCCCCACTTGTTCTGCAGGGCCTGGGCCCCATTTCCCATGAGAAATGGGGGCAGCCCACACCTTAAAGTTCTTGCAGAGGTAGGTGGGCAGGCCTGAGACCCCCCAGGGGATAGAGAGGGAACAGTGCTATTAGCTTGCAGCCCCATCCCTCCCCCAAACACACTCACAAGCTCCTGATGGAAACTCTCTTTTTTTTAATTGAAAAAGCCTGGATTAAGCAGTGGCGGTAGGGGCCGCCTCCAAGAGGGTCCCTCCACTGCCGTGGGGCGGGGCTGGTCAGTATCTGCCTGCCCTCACCGTCAGGCACGCTGGCTCTGGAACAGGACAACAGGCTACATGTCCTCTTGCCTAGGACTGTGGGGTGACCTTTGTCTGCCCTGGGTCCTTATTGCTGTGCCTCCTTTTCCTGTCCCCCCCTGGGTCACGCAGTCACGTGTGGGGGCGGGGGAGGGGGGGTGTCCTCGCTCTGGTAAGTGTAGTGTGTGGCTGGCCGGGGGGCATGCAAGCTCGCTGGGTCCCTTGTGGCCATGGGTTGGGTGGGGGCTTTTGCTGGGCTGGGGTGCTGAGAAGTTAAGTAAGAGCTGAGGGGTGCTGTAGACATTTACTTGGGGGTGTGTGTGCTGGAGCCCCCAAGGTGCAGAATCGGGTTGATCCCTGGCCCCTCCTCCACAGAGCGGGTGGCAGAGGGCCGGCCACAACGCGGTCTCCTCGTAGAACAGGGGGAGCCCCCCCCCATCACAGGTGCTCGCTGGCCACCTGGGCTAAGATCTCCTTGATGCGGACGACCAACTTCTCGTGGCGGGCGGGGTCGCGCTCGATGGCGTCGTGCAGCCGCGCCATGTAGAAGTCCAGGGTGCTGAGCGTGGGCGTCTCCCCGGTGCCTGGGGTGGGGTCCCAGGGCAGATGTCACCTGGGGCGGGCTCTCAGAGAGCGGGTGGCAGGATGAGGGGAGTGGGGTGCAATGGGGCTTACTTAGCCAAGGTCAGCGGAGGCAGGGCCAGAAGGACTCAGGGAACATGGTGTGTGTGTGTGCGTGTGTGTGTGTGGCGTCCCAGAGGGCGTGGCGCAGGGCTGGGTGAAAGCATTGTGTGAGGGACCAGGGTCAGCATGGGCGGAGTCTGAGGTGGTCCAAAGGTGGAGGCTCCCGGCCCTCCTGTTCAGGCTGGGTGATCCAGGGGGGGTTCAGGGGGTGGCCGGTGGGGGAGGGGGAGGGCCGAGAGGGTCTGCTGTGGGGTTCGTACCACTCAAGGGAGGCGGGGCAGAGCTGGGTGGCCAGGGGCGGGGCTCATAGCAGGTGTGGGCGGAGTCAGGGCAGTAGGGGCGGGGCTAGCAGGGTTTCCTACCGGGCACAGGCAGCGAGGCGAAGCTGGCGGTGAGGGCCTGGCGCACGGCCTGGAGCTGCTGCTGCAGGGCCAGCGTCCGCCGCTCCTCCAGCGCCAGCTCCTGCTCCAGGCGCTCGCGCGCGCTGCTCATGCTCTGCGTGTGCCGCTGCAGCACGGCGTTCTGCTCCTCAAAGGCCACGTTCATCTTCCGCAGGCGCCGCAGCTCCGCCTCCCGCGCTGGGGGTCGGGGGTGGGAACGAGGTTCAGCCTGGGGCCAGGGGAGGGGTTTGGCCACCGCCCCCCCAGCCCAGCACCCCTCGGCCACACCCAGCCCCCATTCCGGGGGCTGCACCTGCCGGCTACCCTAGGGCCTTGTTCACCTTTATTTTGGTCCAAAAACTCTTCAGTGAAGATGGGGACATCGAAGGTGGAGAAGCCGTTGCAGTCCCCACCCTGGGGTGGAGAGACAACTCATTTTAGGGGTCGGCTACACCTCTGCCTGAAATAGCCCCTTGTGGTGGTGGTGGTGGTGGTGGTGGGGGGACAGTATCTCCTATAGCTACCCTTTGGACCTGACAACCAACCCCACTTCCTCCAGGAGGCTGCCTGCCCGCCTCTGAACGCCCCAAGAATAGCCAGACCTTTTGCCCCCAGAAGCGAGGATCCTGGTGTCCTCTTAGGAGGGGAGAAGCGGGGTGGGGTGGGCGCACTTACCTTGTGTCCATTCAATAGCGTGTTCATGAGCCCGGGGCCGGAGTCCTCTGGTGGGAGAGCGGGGAGGGTACCATCAGCCTCCCCACCCCATTGGCCCCACACTCCACACAAGCAGGAACCCCCTCCTGCCTCTCCCCCTTGGGAACCCTAGATCAGGGTCTCTACCAGCTCTACCCCTGCCCCTGTGTCCCAGGAGCAGAGAAGAGGGCCCTTCCTCCCTCATAACCAGTGATGGTCTCTCTCTCTTTGCCACCAGGCTCAGCCCAGAGTCCCCACTGCCTTGGGGGCTCTCACCTTTTTTAATCCTCTTTTCCTGGACCTTCTCCGCACACATCTTGTACGCCTCAGACTGCTGGTACGCGCGCAGCTCCTTCATGTACTGCTGCTTCTCCCGTTCCGCCTCGTCCAGGTACCGCTGGCAGGGCCGGCCAAGGGTGACCACCACGGCCCCTGAACCTTCCCTGGCTCCCTACTGCCCTCGGGCCAAGACCTCACTCCCCAACCTGCGCGCGCACAAGTCACCCCGTAGCTCTCTGGCCTCCCCTTCCACCCCAGCCCCCAACTCCCACCCTGACAAACCGCTCCACAGCCTGAATTTACTTGGGTCAGTCCGGGGCCCCGCACTCCATGCCCTCATGCCGGGACAACCGGCCACATCCGTTTCTGCCCGTGGGAACCCCATTTAGGGGTGCAAACGGGGACAGGAGTGTCTTTCGGACTTTGCCACTGTGAAATGGCTGGAAGCCAGAAGGGTTCTCATGAAAATCCAGCCCCGCCCCCCGCCCCACGGTTGGGTCTGCTCTTGCTCATGACCCTGCTGCTCCAACATGCTGTGCAGCCACGTTGAGGATTCTCACTCATCGCGACTCCACGTACCACAGCACTGCCCAGCCCTGTGCCAACCTCACAACTGTCCTATGCCAGCAAGGCAAACAGGTGGTCAGCCCTCCAGGAGGGAAGGCGACCCTCTGTGGCCGATCCCGGCCCACCTGCTTCTCGGCTGGCTGTAGCTTGCTCCACTCGGCACCCAGCATCTTGGTGATCTCGGGGAAGGGCAAGTCCGGGTGACGAGTGCGAATCTGCTCCCGCCGCTCGTTCAGGAAGCGCACGTACCCAGTGACGGGCGCCTTGGGCCCGTTGGGCAGAACCTTCTTCCGTTTCTTGCCCTTGGGCCAGCCTCTCTTCTTCACTGGCTGCAGAATAGAGTTGAGGCATTGGGAGGCGGCCTAGGGCGTGCCTGGGAAGGAGTGGGTGGAGCTAGAGAGGTGGGGGGGCGGGGCTGGTTCGAAGTTAGAAGCCTGGTGAACTCCAGGACCAGAGCAAAGGGTGAGGGGGTGGGCGGTGCTGGGCAGGAAGTGGAGGACCAGAGGCATTGGCAGCCTGGTTGCTACCAGGGATGGCGCTGTTGGCTCACATTGTGGGCGTGGACTGAGAGTGCCAGCGGCTTGATGCTGGAGGAAGAGCTCCTAGGGGGAAAGGTGCGTCTACCCGGGAAGTGAAGCCTTAGTAAAGTGGAGTCTGGGACCTGTTAAGGGCGTGGCGAATAGCATGGGGCAGGGAAATCAGAGGTGTAGGCGGGGCCACCAGGGATGTTTCAACCCCAGCCTAGGGGAAGAGGCATCTTGCTCTCAAGCACCTCTCCTCGCCCCCAGCTGTGCAGGGCCTCTCACCTCCTCCTCATGGGGCCCCTTCTCCCCGGCTCTCAGGCCCTCACTGCGCTCCTGCTTCACAGCCACCACGAAGCCCCCATGCGGGCCTGGAGTCTTGCCGCCTGCTGGCCTGGAGCCACCAAAGACCAGGGTCATGCTTCAACACCCTTCCTGTCCCCCCAAATCCCCTCCCTTTAGGGATGGCAGTGAGAGGGCATGGGCCCAGGAGGCACGTGGGGGGGGGCCTGGATAGACAGTGCGGGGGATGGGGTCAGCTAGGGTGAGGTGGGGTCCCCTAGGAAGAGGGCAGGACAGAATCAGTGGGGGACAAGAGAGGCCCTGCCCCAGGAGGTGGAGCCACGGCCCCGAGGGCGGGGCTTTGGGTTTGCGGAGCTTGGGTGGGGGTGCTGCGCGTAGGCAGGGCAGGCGGGGGAGGGGACGCCGCACTCACGCGGTGGCCGCCACGGGATGCTTGGGGCCGTGGGACATGGCCGCTCGGCCGGACCTGGAACACAGATGAGGGAGCGGAGGTAGGGGGTGCCTCGGAGGATCCCAGCCGGGGCCCCC